GTCAAGGAGAAAAATGTCCTCGTCTTTGGGTCAGTTCCGAATCTGACCCTGACCATGCTTCTCTGAGTAGGTGAAGGACACCAAGGGCTTCCTTGATTGGTTGTTGACTCATTTTTCATCTCCAAGGCAGCACTAGGTAGGGTTTTTAAACTCTAACTTTGCCTAATGTGATGGCCCTGCCTCTGCCATCTCTATGCTGATTGATGGCAGGAAGTGCCTGCCCTGAGCAGTAGAGCCTTTGATGGAACTGAGGCTTTACCCATAAGGGATGCTGCCTTGAAGTGCTCATGGTTGGCCAGTGGGTAAGGAGCACCCCCAGGGTTCTCCAGAGAAACTGTACCCCTGGAAGAGGGGGGAATACACAGATAGGCAGTCAGGTGCATGCATAGTTACCTACTCACATAGATGAAGGTCAGGCCTCATGGGGGCTCCCAAAAGACTGTCAGCATGTGTCTTTGGGATTGATGGTTCTTATATTTCTCAGTCACTGTGGGACTGTAGTTAGGCTCAGGCCTCAATTGGTTTGATAAGGGCATCCTTTTTTTTTTCTTTGAAATAAGAATTTTGAACGTATCAGAAAATTGGGGGTAAAAAATCAGGAGCAGATCTCCCCACCCCCTTGTCCGGTGCCGTTACACTGGTTGCCCTGTAGAGCAGAGGGACCTGGCCCCATCACGGGTTCTGTGACCCTCTGGGCTGTTTATCGGCTCACTGTGAACCCCTGCTTCCAACTGCCTTGGGCCCGAAGGGCTTCTGAAATGGTAGAGGACAGGCTCATGTTCATTATGGCTTCACACAAACAGCCTTTTCCTCTCTTCTGAGCCTAAGCTTGGGCAGTGAGAAGTACAGATCCAGGGGCCGGGGAATTTAGCTCAGCGGCATAAGCGCCTGCCTTCCAAGCAAGCAATCGTGAGTTCAATCCCTGGTACCGATAAAAAACGAAAAAGACAAAAAAAAAAGTGCAGGTCCAGCAGGTGACTGAGTAGTAAGCAGATTGCTGGGTTCGTCCAGCTGTCCTGGGTCATATCCTGCTACCTCCCTGTTCACCTGTCTGTCTATTCCACACTCATACCTGCTATTCACTATGTGACAGGCATTATTTAAAGCTTTTTTTACTTGCTACCTGTAATTGATTTAAACCTCACCACAACCTCTACAGAACATTTAGTACTGTCCTCCTTTTATAGGTAGAGAAACTGAGGCAAAGGTAAACAATTTGCCTGAGGTCACAGTCAGCAGCAGAGTCCCAGTGTAAAGCCCAGGCATCTGGCTCCTGAGCCTGTTTGTGACCCACAGTGTACAGCCTGCTACCACAGTGGGGGTGTGTGGGGCACAGCAGGACTTCACTCTGCCTGGTATGGAACCAGACCGTCACCTTTAGACTTCAGTCTTGTGCCAGCACATCCACAAAACCCAGCAGATGAAATCTGCCCATGCACAGCAGTCCCTGAGAGAGAGCAGTAGGGCTGGGCGATGGTTCCAAAGCCTTTCCATCAGGGGTGCAGGCCTGCTGATGTTCCCAAACAGGGAAAGAAAAACAAAGCTGGAGTGGGGGACATCAGCCCCTCCTCGTCTGCAACACCAAAGGTCCCTGTCCTCTAAACATGCCCTGTGATCACCCTGCAGCCTCTCAGGGCCAGGTTGCTCTGAGTGATCTGTTACGTACTTTGCTGCAGTCCAGGCTGTGCGCAGGGGATTGGGGTTCTGTGGGCAGCCAGACCGCACAGAGCGTGGCAGTGTGATCCCAGAGAATGAGTTATTTGGGAATACGTGGCCCAGGAAAACTGGAGCATGTTCTTATCGAGCGCATGTCCATCTCAGGGAAGCGGCTGCTGAGGGATCCTCGAGGCAGCTGCCCCCTCCCTGAAATGTACTGTCTACCACATCAGCTGCCTAGGGCTCAGATGCTTCCTCTCAAAACGGCGTCCAGTGAGCTTTGAACAGTGTTTTCATACAGAATAATAACAAGTTTCTTTCTTTTTATATAAACAAAGCAGAAATCAATTTAAGGAAGAACAGTGGTGCGTGTGGAGTAGAAATTCTGCAGAATTGTGAGAGTGATACAAAATGTCCTTTATTTATTCAGCCATGTACTCATCAGATATTTATTGAGTGCCCACTGTGTCCTGGTGGTGCTGTGAACCTCGGATTCAGGCAGCTGCCTTTCTCACGGGGGAGGACAGAGCATGCAAACCAGTCAACCTCTTAGGAGCCTGTGGATGCTACAGAGGTGAACCCTGTAGGGGGAGGGGACAGAAACTGAAGAAGAGGATCCTGTTTTAGACCGGAAGACAGATGAGTAAAGACATAAGTGACAAGAGGCCGTGAGCCTTGCACTTACGTGGGTAAGGAGCATTTCAGAAAGGGAGAACTATCCCTGCAAGGCCACAAGGCGCTCCCTATTTCGTGTGTTTGAGGAAATGCTGTTTTACAAAGGCACATTCGGGAAACACCAGGTTAGATGCTGTTGTCTAGTGTCACCTCCTACATTGTGACCCTTACACAACCATGATCCAGATGAGGGTGCTTGGCGATGAGGTGTGGCTCTCAAAAAACCTGGCTGCTGAAGGCTTCCTGGGTTTGCATGGAGCAGGCAGCAGATCGATTGGTGGACCTTGAGTTCAGGATGTCCCCAGAGGACGGTGGATGGTAATCCAAGCCCGCTGCATTATGTTTGCCTCGTAAGGGCAGAAGAGTTATGACTCATCCAGCATGTGCTGAGTGACAACGAAGTGCCCTGCAGGAGGCTGGATATTGGAACAAATCAGATGTTCCTGTCTGCCCAGAGCCCAGCACATGAGAACAGGGTGCCTGCAATGTGGCCTGTGGGGGGAGGCCCTGATGGAGCAGGGGTCTTGCTCTTGCTGTGGGGAACCCTGAGTGGGGCCCATCAATCCCAGGCTGCATCATAGAGCTGTGTGGAGCACAGAGTGGAGGCTAAGCTGGCTGCAAGATTGGGACGCAGCCAAAATGAGAATTTAGGGCTGTCTTTTGTGGAAAAAGCCTTACAGGTAAACAGAAAGCTTTCTCCTTCTGCTGTCTCTCTCAGTGTGTTACGGTGCTTTTCATTTGTTACTTGATGTCATTTGAAGTAAGGAAAAATAAAAGCATAATGTAAATTTTACCATCCATCTTTATGTTATACAGAGCCAGATTTATTAAAGGCAGTTCTCAGAGCATTTAACTGGCATGTGGATTGTGAAATGACACAGCTCATATTTTGTGGCTCATTTTCAGAGGTGTGTGAGTGGGCTGGAAGGACAGATTCGAGCCAGGCTCAGGAGACTGAGAAGGAGGAAGTACAGCCATGCAGACTTCCAGATGCTCGATGCTACCCTCAATGTAGGGCATATGGCACACATGCTCAGGGCTGATAGTGGCTGAGTTCCTGCTCTTTCCAGGTGCTGGATGGCTGTGCTTTACCCTGGCTGGGGGTGCTGGCGAGTTGGGTGTACTAGGCTACATGTCTTTCCATCCTCAGAAGCACTACCCCAATCTGCAGCCCACAGGCATCACCAAGGATCTTTAACCTGGGCACTGGGACCTACTCATTACCTGGGTCGGGGTAGGCAAGAGGCTCATTCCTGCCAAGACTCAGCCTCTAGTTAGCTGCCATCCAGACACATGATGGTCCTGCCTGCCCAGGAGCCCTAGGCAGGGAGTGGGTGAGATGCAGCTGCCACCACGCTGTGCCCCAAGACAGCATGGGGCACGCATGCCTGAATCAGACCCTCTCCACTGCGGGTGTCAGACTACAAGAGCCACAGAGCAGGCGTGAGGAAAGGGAGGCCAAGCAACTCCCAGGGCCTCAGGGAGTGGAGAATAGGCTGGCAACAACCCATCCCAGGAATTGGGGGAGGCAGCTCCATATGTGAGCGCAGACTCCATGACCTCAGCACTGTTTACAAAACATGAATTCAAGAGTAAAATGATTAAGGCTTCCCAATGGTACAATGGAGCATTCCATCTCAAGGGTGGCCCCTTCTCAGCATGGAACCTGTGTGCATGTGTTGGCCACCCGCACACAAAGCTGGCCCTGGAGAGACCAGCGACATTCTTTAGGTCCCTTGGCATTTCTAGACCTCATTTTCCTTTGGGTCAGGCAGGGTGGGAGATCCATGTCACAGAGAAGGTCTGGCTGTAAAGTTAGATGTGGACAGGCAACCAGCTTGGAAGCAGAGGCCTAGTGTTGTCTTTCTTCCTTCTACCCTCAAAACCCCAGGAGGCTGGGATTGCTGTCATCTCTTTTCTTAGATGAGGAAACCAAGCCCTAATGGGGTTTAGTAACTTTCTAGGTCACAGATGACATGATTGGATGACATGATTGACACCCAGGCAGCAGGGACTGCTGGCCCCCGTCATAGCCCTACATTGCTCCTCCTTGAAGAGTCCCCACAAACTCTTTAGTCCCCATGCTCCTTGGCATTTTGGCTTCAGGCTACACCTGGACCAAGTCCACCCTGGGTACTGTAAGGGCTAAGTCCCCAACAGAGGCACCGCCACTGTGCCAGCTTTTCCCACTTAAGTCCCCACAGAGGTCACCACTGGTTTTGGGAGCAGTCACTGGGGCAGGAACCCACTCAAGTCTAGTTGGTGGCTGAGCAGGAAACAGAGACAGTGACCCAGAAAAGTTTGGCTGACCTCAGAGTCTCTGGAGCAGATAAGGAAGTCATGTCCTTTAGGTGGGGGGTCCATTCTGGTCTTGAGGGGACCCAGTACATGCTGACTCTTTGTCTAGACTCAAGCCTATATTGGAGCCTTGTATTCTAAAGCTAAAAGTAGGTGACCTCTGTAGGAATAGTGGGTGGCAGGCCTTGTCTGGGCAGTGGTGAGAACATTTCCCTTCTTCTAGGGTCAGCTGACAGGGACTCAGCTACTTGAAGGCTTTCTTTGGGGCCTGGGCCTTTCTTGTTGCCACCCCTGGCCCAATCACTAATAATAACCATGGTGGTCTCTAGGCAGGGCTTCCTGCTCATCCTCTTCTCTCTTCTGCATGGCAGAGCTCCATCTAGAAGGAAACTTCTTACATCGTCTCCCCAATGAAGTCAGCAGCCTGCAGCACCTCAAGGCCATTGACCTATCCCGGAACCAATTCCGAGACTTCCCAGAGCAACTCACCACACTGCCAATGCTGGAGACTATCAACTTGGAGGAGAATGAGATCACAGGTGAGTGGCTCGGCCAGTCTGGCCTGCAGCGGCTGTGCAGGAATCTGCAGGGCACAAGGTTCTGGCTTTCACAGGCAAGGGGGAAGCCTGGGCTTGCTCATCTTGATACCTGAGCAGAGCACACTGGGCCTGGGACGGTGACCACTGTGTGGCCTTGCCATATGCCTGGGGCTGACTTAGACATTGGCTTCCATCGCAGTGATGACCTCGGCTTTGTCACAGTGTTGTAGCCCTGGGCTAGTGGCTTTCCACAAGCTTGCCTTCTGCCTGTACCCAGTGTACATGGCTTCCACTTGGGAGCCAGTGTGTCCAGTCTATGCCTTCTGCAAACCCTGGAGGCTGGGGGCTGTGCTCCACTGAGGTCGCAGCTCTTACCTTCCTCTCTGTCTCGTCAGGGCCTCAAAGAACCGAGCATCTTCTCCAGCTAGCAGATTAGAATGGGCACTTGCCAGCTCTCACTCTCTCTGGCTCTCTCCTCTCTCTCTCTTTGTCATTGCCTCTAACTTCAATGCTGCTCTAATGTCATTGGTGTTACTTCTAATCCTTCTCCACTTTGCTCTTAGTTTCCTAAGTCCTGTTCAGTCATTGTGCAATTTGATGAAAGGCCAGGGCTCTGGAGGGGTTTTGATTGTTGGAGGGGAAACCGTGTGCCTTGTGCAGGCCAGGGCCATTGTTCCCACACTCCACGCTGCTCTCCCTTCATCCATTCTGGAAACTCAGCAGCTTCTCCACTGCCAGCCAGTGGGAAGGCTATGCCACATCCTTCTAAGCCTGACTGTAGGGAGGGGGCAGCAGAGGGTCAGCTGGAAGGAGGAGCTGGCATCACAGAGGTGGCAAGGGCCACCATCCTGCACTGTGGAAATAGCTTGGTGCTGTTCCCAGCTGCACCTGGTCCCCTGCAGGATCTCATCAGAGTAATCTGAGTTGGAGCCTGTGGTGCCTTTAGAGTGGCTTATCTTCTTTAGAACCCTCAAAGCACGCTGGAAAAAGAAAACAAAACTTTTATGAGATTATCCCCAAGTAGTGCCTCCAAAGTGACCACAGAAAGACCCAAAGTCCTGCAGCATCTGGGAGCCACCAGGATCAGCTGAGTCCCTGCCTTGTTCCCAGTAGTGCTACCAACTGAGTGCTTGCCATCCTCGGGACCATTCTCCAGGGAGAGGAGGAGAGAAGGACCAGGACCTCAACAGGACTGGGAAGGACAGGGACACTTCTCTGTGCTGTATGAGGCCAATGCTAGAAGGTGATTCTGCCTATACTTGGTGCTCACTGGTGGCTGAGCCTCAGGTCACATATCTGCCACTTTGTTCTGCCAGCCCTCTGGCCTTGTATGTGACCCGTCTCTGCCTGGACGCTGGTCACAGCCTCTGCTCTCTGAGCCCCTCTCCCCGTCTCCATGAGCACCAAGCGTAGTGTCTGGCATACAACAGCTGCTCCGCTGGTTGTGCTGTCCATGTAGAACAAGAATATCAAAGCCTCCAATCTCCACGAATATAACTGAGACTCAATAAGGTGGATTAATTCAAGTTGCAGGTTATGATCCATCAGTGAATTGTAATGTCAAATTAGTGGGTTGAGACCAGCAATTTTTAATGAGATAGAGTAGAATAGAAAATGCCACGGTACATCACATGTAGCATGGTAATTACTGTTTTGTGGGCTTTCATTTAACTGGGCATGCACAGGTATATATGTGGAGCGTGATGAAAAATTCAGTGTCTTTCTGTGGGTCATGATGAAAAGCATCACAAGGGCCCACAATAAGCTTTCTGCAGGATACGGCGGGTCTGTCTCAGCCGGCCTCACCTCCTGGCCTCCCCGGTATTTGTTCCCAGTCATACCAGACCCTTCATCTCCACCCCACCCACCCTGCATGGCCTGCGTTTTCCATCCAGAAGTCCCAGCTTGTGTCTTACCGTCTCCTCAGTTGTGGCCAAATCCTGTAAGTTAAAGGATCTGAGCCTGACTCAGACAAACATGAATCAGAATGGATGGGGGTCTCTCCCCTCCCCTGCTGGGCCTATGAAAGACGTGCACAGCAGCGGATGCCCCCCTCCTAGATGGGGTGCCACCTGCATCTTTGGGAACTGGCCGGTTGGAACATTTGTTCGCACTAGACATTCCTGAGAGAGAAACAAGGGTTTGTAGTTTAGAGTTCAGACAGTGGTCATTTGCAAGTTTCCGGGATACGGGATGGCCCATGCTTTCTAAACCTGAGGGAGTAGGTTGTCCCTCCATAGTCACAGGGGCTTGTGGTTGCCCAGATTTGTAGATGCTCAAGCCTCTCACATAAGAGCAGAATATAGTTATTGAGAGAAAGAAAGCTTCTGTCAGAGAGAGACAGAAGGGATCCCAAGTGGGTTGCAGAGGACCTTGCCTTTTCTAGAGGTTTTTATAGCACAAAACCACAAGGTGAAAGCCCCTTTTGTAAAATGGAAATTGTTTCCTTAAAACCTACCCTCATCCTCTCATACCCTTCAAGTCACCTCTGGAGTGTTTATGGTGTCTTACACAGCGTAAATGTTATGTTCGTAGTTGTTGTACCGCTTTGTGTAAGGAATGATGATAAGGAGAAAAATCCCAGCTTAGTACAGATGCTGTTTTTTTCCCTGAATGTTCTAAATCCACACTTCATTGACTCCATGGTATACAACCCACAGTACAGAAGACTGTATGTGGAAGTTTTAAGTGTTTATGAGCAAGACTGCTTGGAAAAATATAGTCTCTGGAGAAGCAGTGGCTAGAAAGATAAATGAGTGGTAGGTTCTGACTTGGAGTTGCTTGCAGGTGTTAGCGTGGGGAAATGTTAGACCACTAGGTAGGACATACAGGAGAAGGTGTGCCCTCGGCTGCCAGAGACGGGACTCCCGGGCAGAGGGTGGCAGTCTGTGTGTCCCAGAGGGCTCCCAGGAGCTGAGGCATTTAATGTGGCCATAAGCGATGATGTGACCATGGTGGGTCACCTGTCTTAAAAAGATGACGAAGCCAGCTCTTGTGTCCCTCTAGCCAGCACATGTGACTGCAAGTAGGTGCAGGAATCCCACTGAGTTCTCCTTGCTTGCTGATAGGTACTTGATGCTGCCTAGTAATTCAGTGCTGGAACATGTGGGGGTGAAGGGAAAATCACAAATCTGGGAGACCTCATGTTACTAAGCAGGAGGCTTTCAGTTAAGCTGCAATTTAACTCTCCACACTCTTTCATTCCCTGGTTTTCTTTTTCCTGTGCACCCACACTGTTTCAAGGGGAGGGGAATGGCAAAAGCTCATAGGAAAATAAGTCCATGGTAAAAATTTAATAAACAGAGCAATAGTTGTTAAAAAATGTCTGTGACATAGGAATGCTTTGGGCTGCATTTATTTCATTCTGCCCTTGTACTAACCCAGCCAGGATTTCTCCACATGCGGCCTCAGGGCCCTGAATTGCTGGAGCAGCTGAGAACCTGCTCAGCAGGAAAGCCCTACCCTGGCCCTTCTGAATCTGAAAATTATTTTTATAAGCTCCCTACCCTCCAGGTAACTTGGATGTGTGCTGAAGTTTGAGAACCCCAGCTTAGGCTCCCACTTCTGAGCATCGTCTGTGGACCAGTAGTGTGAGCATCCCTTGGGAGCTTGGTAGGCATTCAGAATCTCCAATTCTGCCTGCCAAATCAGAATCTGCACTTGAGCAAGATCCCTAGGGGACCTGTGTGGGCAACAGTGTCTGCGAAGAGCTGGTACAGGTGTCCTCTCGAGGAAGCTGGCTCTGTTCATCCAAGCACAGAACTCAGCATGATGCTCAGAACGGACATCCCACTGGCACTGGAGCACCTCGCTGAGACTCCTTTCTCACACCATCTGAATTAGAATTTCTGTGGCTGTAGAGAGACGCAGGTGAAGGGAGCTACACGCTTGCTGAACTTTCAACATTGTCTGCCCCACCGAGGGGGCAGGTTGCAAGGTCCCAGTCCCACACCCCTGGCCAAGGTCAACACGGCCTCGGGGGATCACACTGAGCCTTAATAGCTGGCACCTCACAAGGGGTGACTGGCAAAAAACCATTTCTTTCTGGAGCTTTCTGTCTACCACATCATGCTGTCACTCCTAAGACAGGTCAAAGCAGAGAGATTGGTTGCTGTCTTACACCCCACCGCATCTGCAGTAAGGAGCGTTGTCAGTGAATTAGCAAATGATGCTCTCCGTAGGCTCCAGCACCCACAGCCTTGTCTGCAGAGTGGGGAGAACATAGTTCTTAGAGTTGAGGGTGGGGTTCCCTGGGGTGACCTCTCACAGTCTGCCACTTCTCCTGCCGCTGCACTCACCCCAGTCCTTGCTGCATACTCAGCCTTTCCCTCACTGCCTGCCCTCAGCCTGCTGGGTCACTTCTTGGGGCCAGGACACAGGACGTGGAGGCTGTTGCTCAAAGCTTGGGTGGAAGCTGACCAGTGGGCCACAGGGTATGGGGAAGGGGTCAGCTGACTGGGGAAGGATTACCACCTTTGTCCTTCTGGAGGATTCTGAGTGGCCAGGCCCAGCAGAACAAGGCACCTGCCCTTTCAAACACACACACACAGAGACCCTGAAGCACACTTCTCTATCATTTAGGCGCTACCTTAGAACCCTTTTGGCTCACAGAGGGACTGGATCATTTCTGCCAAAGGGACAGCTGACAAGTGATTCTGCTTCCTACTTTAAGGATAGCAGAAAGGATGCTGGATGAAGGCCTCAAAGCCCCGGGTTTGCCACTTACTGCAAACAGCTGCCCCCTCTGATAAATAGGAAGAGTGGTCCTTACCTATACCCTCAGAGTCCTGCCCAGTCGGCACTGATGGACACTCAGCAAGTCATAAAGCCCCTCGCTGAACTGCTAGGGGACTATCGCTTCCTCCCTGTGTGTCTGTCTAAGTCATGGCTGTGGAGATAATTGTGAATAGCCTTCCCCTGCTTGAGGCCTCCTGGTTACAGATCACGTTCCTTAACTGTGCATTCCCCGATCCTCCAGACACCTACTGAGGAAGTACAGG